ACAGTCTAATTATGTCTCTTAGCAATAGCTTACAGTTTGCTTTCTGCTTTCTGCAGCACAGCACACATCAGCAAGCTGTTTCTCTTTGGTGTCTGGAGAGTGTCTGAATGGGCAATGATGATGCCGACTGATTGTCTTGTTTGCATGTGTGGCCCATATGAGCTGCTGTAAATGGTTGGCTGTCAGGCTGTCGGGTCATCAAAGGGGTGCCTATCGATTAGGATCAACCGGCTGACGCCTAATCTCAACTGACATTCAGCCCATTGGGGCATGGAGAGAAAGAGGGTGGAAGACAGAGAAGATAAGAAAAGTACACTAGCTCATGTCCTAAAGCCCTGGCAGTTTGTTTGTCTCAGTAAATGTATCCATTCGATAAACATTTGCCATGCTGAATGGAGCTCTGAGCTCAGAAGGCTCTACACAGAGGTGCTGTTGGGAGTGCTTGAACCACCAGTATTAACACCCAAATCTTGGAGACTCAAAGAGCTGACCCTGACACTATGTCAGCCTCATGACATTTCCAGCTCTGTTAAACTCATCACAGCCTCAGCAGGTCTGCAGATATTGTTTTGGGACATAATCTCATGAAATTCTTCAGTATATAATGTACAAATTGCTACTGTTAATATGTGTAATATGAATGAATATTGGTTTTATTTTCTCAATAAATTGCTGAGTGGACATGCAGGGTTGTACAGAGCTTGCAGAGGTTAAAACAACATATTTTAGTGAAATTTGTTGTCATTATTATGGTGGTTCACCTTCCTACACATTGCTTACTTCTTCTTTGTATTTGCCCTATCCTGTATGTCCTTTGCACATTGTCGAGTTATCACACTTGTATTAACTTAGTTGCACTAAGTTTATCTTTCCACTGCGGCCCATGAGCTCCACTGTTTTGTCTCTCTGTATATTTGTGTACGGTGGGGATGACAAACTTCATTTTGAGTAGAACAAGATAGTAAAATCAGAATGGGAAGTAGTTATTCTGGTAACATTATAGCCCAATTGTTTTATTTAAATCATTTTTGTTGCCTATTTTGTTTATTTAGTTGCTTCTTACACGCAGGTAATATGAATGTATGACATAACAAAAAAACCTTCTGCAAAAAACAGCAACTACGCTACGACACTGAAATTGAGAAAAGGGAGCTTCAAGGTTTTTAAGCTGTCCACCCTCATACCTTTATAAAACATAAACATTGCAAGGATTACCATTTTAGGGTCTATTGCCGTATATATAGCATGTTATATGGAAGCATTCACGCAAAAGATGCTGTGTACTTCATTTAAAAATATTTTTATTTTACTTAAATCATTAAAAGAGAAAAATGGGTTCTATTGCCTTGTGGTCTTCAAATAACTTCTCAGTCAGACTGCAGATTTAAGTTGTTTTTTTCAAGAGCAGTACACATGGCATTGAGTGCCTTTGTGTGACACACTCGTGTCAAACTCTCCTGTGTGTTTTTTGCAAAGTCCTAAATGTTTTACCCAGGCTGCCTCCTTTGCTGGTAAACAAAGGTCAATAAATACATTTTACATTCATCTGTGTGTCACCCTGAAACCAGTTTTTTAAGTGAAGTGCAGCCAGAAAGTTGTAAACCGCTGGAAGGATCTGTTTGGTCTTGCACGCTGCCTATGCTGAGGAATACAGGGTAACATAATCACTCCCTTCACTTGTTGCTTAGAGAAAAGTTCAATGGACTCTGTTTGGTGGAGTGGGGGGTTTTGGCTGGAGTCCAGACAGGCGGGGGGGCGGTTAGCTGTAATGAAAGGGACCTTTTGCTGGCAATTTAGTGTCAGGACCCAAGAGCAGGCGGAGGTGGTGTGCATATTTGTGTGCATGGCTGGGGTGGG